TTGTTGTTTTGTTTTTAAACGTGTAATTGGAAAGAGGGATGGTTTCCAAGAAGAAATCAAGTGAGGATTGTATTCTTTGGACTGTTCAAGAGGTCTAGAGGAATAATGAACTATCGTTTTCTGGTGTAGCTCTTGGGGAAATTTTTTTCTGACTTTAAACTGGTGGCTTGCCCTCCCCCAGGCTGAGCATAAAATTTAGCATTAATTGGGGTGTAGATTGAGAAGGAAAAACAAATCTTTCACACCATCTAAAAAGCTCGGTCTCAAGTGCAGCTGTCCCTTCCCTCTCCCACTTGACTAGAAGGCTGATAGACTGAGGCAGGTATCACTTGAGGTTTACGAAGAAGCTCGATTTGCTTCTCGGAGATTTTAGCCATGTTTGCTAGATGCATTATGGACATGGGGGATGGAATCCAAATAAAACTTATGTTTAGCTACCTTGTTTGTGTCGTGCAAACTTCCTTTTAACTGTCATGCATTTTTCTAGTAATAGCTCTTCAAGTCTGCAATAAAAAATGGCCTCCAATAAAACTACATTGGTAAGTTAATGAAGACCTAAATATGTAAGGACCTAACTCAAAACTTTTTTCCCAAAACTTATAACTATGCATCTCTGTGGTTGAGAAAATTACCTACACATCCCCAACCGACCACCAGCCCACTCACCCCCTCCCACTCACAGTATTGTGGGGAAATTAGAAGCAAAAAATAACGTTCAACAGATTGGGCTTCTAATACATTTAAACAAAAACGATCTCTTTTGCAGCTCTCAAATTTTGAAGGGCTATACAATAATGAATTTTGCTAAGGGTTTTTATCTTGAAATGCAACACTTGCAATTAGGCCTGGTGGAAGAATGTTACAGAGCATGGGCAGTGGCAGCAGTAAAACCAGTGTTGCTTGGCATGATAAGAACTCACTCTGTCCTTGTACTCTGGGGAGACTAGGTGTTTGGAATTACACCCACTAATGAACCAAGGATTCCGGATGCCTAGATTGGGGCAAAAACTGCTGTGTCTGTCAAATCACTTTGTCATAGTTAGATTTTGCAGCACCTTTACATGATTGCAGTGGTTGGATCTTGGGGTTTTGTTTGTATTAATACACACAAAGAACCAAATCAATGTTGTATTAGGTAGATAATTTTTCCTTTTGTAGCCACATCCACTTAAACACAAACTTTGCAAACTTCATTAAAAGTTCACAAATATATAAAGACATGTAGGTTCAGCCATGTCAAGTTACAATTTAAAATGAACATGGGAATAGTCACATAAGAGTTGTGAAATTCAAAGTTATGGTTCCCATAGTAATGAATTCCTACACTGCATTAATAGTAAACAATGTGAGTTATCGTCTAAATAAAGCATATCATTTGGTTTTGTACTGTGTATTCTTCCATTGGATTTTCTGAATTCATTTGTACCATCATAAGATTGCACAGTGGCATTTAACTACCCTGGAAAACGGCATCTTCTGCGCCTCTCAGGAGTGAGCTGGCCTTCAGATTCCATAATCCATCAACTAAAATGTCCACAATGGAATTGGCTTTCCAGTCAACCCATTTCTTCATCAAATAAGGATAGGATGGAATTAAATGTCCACAAGGCAGAAGAACTTGAGAGTGGATATACTTTACAGTAAACACACCCATACATACTCTCATTAAAGTGGGATTGGTTTTGCACAGCTTGGTAGTGTGTGATTTGTTGGTATTATTTTGTAGTTACAAATTGACCGCTCCTAATGGGCTTGGCAGGGGATTGATTTTTGTGAGTTGTATACAATGCTTGAAATGAGAAACTGAGTTTTATATATAATGGGAAATACTTTTTGTCTCCAAAATCCACCCTGTGCTTGGGAATTCAATCTGGTTTATGCCAAATACTTTTATTTTAAAGGGGCACTTAAAACTAATCTATACCGTGGTGGTAAATCTTAATAAATAGTTCTCTAGTTCTCTCTCCCCTTCACACCCCCCCCCTTTTTTTTCTTTGAATCTTCAGTGTAGATCCTTTCTTACTTGCTTTTGTTGTCATCTTATTTTGTAGATTATCTTTATGGACAGCAGTTGTGTTCTTCATTTAGAGTCAGTATCTACTAAGCTTTTGTCTGCTTTAATTTCTCTTTGCCCAAGTCTTTAGAGTAATGAGAATTTTAAGACTAGATTTAGAGATAGTACTCAACAAAATCAGGTGCGAGGGCATTTTTAAGAATCCATTTGGTTTTTGCAGGTGTGTACTCTTGCTTGCATACCTTAAACATCTCTATAGGGTGGCTTTAGTGAAAGGGTTGCTTCTTGGTCTTTTCTAATTAAACATTTTGTTTTGTTTTTAATTTGCCTATTTCCAATTTGGACGCAACCAATAGAATCATTGGAAAAGAGCTGGTTCCATTTGCTACCCTACTTGACTTCATTAAATCTTGTTCCCCGAAGTAGGTGATACTGCCTCCACCTCCTGGAGGGCACTGCAATGATTCAGGGCTCCTGCAAACACAGACACCGTCCCTTTTTTTCTGGATTATGGGCTAGCGTATGAAAGGTTTTCATTGTCATGGGGGATGCTGTGTAATTTTTTCTGAAAAAAAGGAGGTGGTCAGGCCAAGTAAATTTGGGAACATGTGGTTTAAATAATATGACGCATAACCTCTACACTTGAAAAAAAAAAAAAGGTCACCTCAAAGTTAGTTTTCCAGGAAAGGATTTTTCACCTTCGAGAACTATAAAATGATCGGACATTTTGGCCTCTTAATTGCATTAGAAGTTTCTTCCATCTGATGCAGTTTTGTCTGCAAAGAGGATGGGAAACAGCCTTTGACCTTGCTAGCCTACTCCTGGGCTATAGCATGAGGATTCAGAAATGACCATCTAAGTGTTGAGACTGTTTAATTATTTTCACCGTGTTTTCTTTTTCTCTCTTTTGGGTCGTTTAACATTAGTGTTTCAGTGTAGTTGCTTGAATCGTGAAAAGTATGGTTATTTTTTTTGCAGAGTTAAAATGAGTTGAAAACTATCTTTTGGTGTTACAGATTATGTAGAAGTAAGACAGATAGGGTAACAAGGTTTTCCGGTTAGTGTCTTTTGGTGAAGGGGTTGTGGGTGATAGGCTTGGGTTCAGCCAATGGAATAAGCATTCCATGGTAGTATTACATGACTTCCATCTTTTCAGAAGGTGTCTGCCCTGAGATAAAGACATAAAAACTCCCCATTTTGAATCCAACAACATAAGCAATTAATCCTTTAAAGTGTATGAAAATCAGAAAGAATGTTTCTTAAATTTCTGTTTTGTTTTGTTTTAGCAAAAAATGGGAAAGAAGCAGAATGGAAAGAGTAAAAAAGTCGAAGAGGCTGAACCTGAAGAATTTGTGGTAGAAAAAGTTCTGGACCGGCGTGTTGTGAATGGGAAGGTGGAATATTTCTTAAAATGGAAGGGATTTACAGAGTAAGAACCTCAGTGCTGCTGTATATGTTTAACTAGACTTGGGGATCTGGGGTCCTTGTTGGTGTGGTGGTTTAAACCCATCAACCATTTCAAGGAAGGAAGATGTGGCAATCTCCTTCCATATAGATTTTAGCCTCAGAAATCATACAGGGACACTAGTTGATGTTTCTCCTTTTACCAAAGGTTTTTGTTTTTGTTTTTAAGACCACTTTTAATTCCAGGGGTTTTGTTCATTTAATTTGAGACTGGTTACCTTGACTCGGGGAGAAAGAGATTGCTTGGGGGTGGGGGTGGGGGGTTACCTCCATAAAGAGTTACAGCCTCGGAACCTCATAGGGGCAGTGCTAGTCTCTGCTCTATAGGGTCACTAGGAGTCTCTGAATCGACTGGATGGCAGTGAGTTTCGTTTGAGTTTGTTACTTTGGAGAGTCAAATTTGCAAAACTATAGAATTGACTTTAGTCTATACGTTATTTTGTTTATTTCTTTTTTGGCCAGGGGAAGGACACTTTATTCTTTCCATGTAGGTGTCCCCATATTTCTCTCCATCACTTTTTTTTCTTTTAATCATTTTATTAGGGGCTCATACAACTCTTACCACAATCCATACACACATCAATTGTGTAAAGCGCATTTGTACATTCATTGCCCAGTCTATATGTTATTTTAAGTTTGGTAGACACTAATGTACTTTGCCGTTGAGTTGGTTCTAATTCACTCAACCATATACAGAGTAGAACTGCCCCATAAGTTTCCAAGGTTGTAAATCTATGGAAACAGACTGCCATATGGAGTGTCTAGTGGGTTCAAACTGTCCGCCTTTGGATTCCCAACCGAGTGCTTTAACCTGGGCTCCTTTTATTCCACAAACTCACTGCTATCAAGTTGATTCCAACTGATACCGACCTAATAGGACAAGTGGAGTTGCCCCATCAAGGCTAAATCTTTATGGTAGCAGCAAACCTCATATTTCTTCCTTAGAACAGCTGATGGTTTCAAACTGCTGACTTTTGAGTTCACACCCCAATGTGTAACCTATCCTGGCTCCTTTTTCTATTTACAGAGGGCATTAAGGAATACTAAAGCTTTGCAACATAGGCTAGTGGTTCTTAATCAAAAGTGTTTATCATAATCCAAGTCCTGTACTTTTATTGTGAGGTGTTAGTCTGTTCTGCTTCAACCCCTTAGGTTACTTACCTATTCCCTAAAATAGAGTCCAGACATATTAACCTCCCTGGCATGTCATATTTCTTGTTAAGAACTGCTTGCAACTGCCTTTTAGGGTAACTGCCTTGTGAGTAACCTAAGTGCAGAAATACATATGCTCTTATTTATCATGGACTGTTACATTTGACTAGGAGGTGTGGTGTTGTGCTGCAGTCCGCATGGTTGGCAGTCATAATCACTGTAACGACTACTGGAAAAGGACTGGGCTTTCTACTCCCAGGAACAGTTAGAGTCTGGAAAAACCCACAGGGGGTCAAGATGAGCTAGCATCGACTCAGTGGCAGTGGATTTGGTTTTGGGTACACTTGAATGTGTCTACCTTACTCCACAAAAGTGGGCATCCGATCTCTTTTAAACTTCTCTGCACACTAAGTTACCGTTTGGCATCAAGGCAATTCAGATTCCTGGTGACCCCGTATGGGTCAGGGTAGAACTGTGTCCCGGAAGGTTATCGGTGGCTGCTTTTTCAGAAGTAGCCTGCCAGGCTTTTCCTTTAAAGTACTTCTGGGCTGACACCAACCAGTTAGAGGACAAGCCCTTTAAGAGTGAGCTCCACCTCTAGGAATTCCACTTACTACTTGAGATGTGGAAGGTTTGGGGTCCCTAGCTTTCCAGTAGATAACCTGGCTCCCATACTGAGTTGTGTCAGATGATGATAATAAAAGTCATAATATTTTCTCCTGACACACACATGGAAAAAGTCACCTTGTTTATGGTTGTTTTTGTAGTGTGTCTGTTTCAATATGACTTGGGAGAAACTGGAATTTGTATTTCATCTAACTTTCCATTCTAAGTATTTTTCTTACTATTTCATACTTTTGAATTTTGCTTAAAATTTCACATACAGACCATACAGAAGGTGTTCGTGGTTGGCCAACCCGTGCTTTAATATAGTTTTAAATGTCAGCACCCAACAGAAACAAAAACATTGTCTCAAATTTAAGAGTACTTCTGGATCATTGTTCTAGAATAAAGTATTGGAGACCCCCAACCCTGGCCTTAATTTGATGGAGAAATGTGTGGTAGAAAATGTGAATCTTTAGTTTAACAAGCACTGTCAGAGAAACTCAAAGGTAGAATGTCTCTAGCACCTTGAGAAATACTAGTTTCAATTATTCTTTAGTCCTGTTAATATATGTGATAAGCTGGCACTCTAAAGAAAACATTCTCTCAAAAGATTATAGGGGCTATCCCTGAGACAATAGTTCTTCAAGCCAAGAACTGAACTCAGTGGTTCAACGTTCTGGCAAACAATAGGCCTATACAGTGAGCAATAGCACCAGAGGGGGTGTTCCTTAGAATAGTTAACCATGGGAGCTCAAAGGGGTCACTTCCCCAGGGCTAAAACTCCAGGCAGGATAGGAAAGACGAAGAAGGGAAATGATAGCCACAGGAAGTGGGAAGAGGGCCGGTACATTGTGTTTGCAATCAGTATCGTCAAATGTTCATGGATTATTGGAATGAAAACCAATTTATCCTATACACTTTCATTGAAGGCTCAATTAAAAGAAAAGAGGGTAGGAAGGAAATGATGTGCATCCAGAAGGCTTAGATACAGAAGCCTGATTCAAATGATGATGGGCCCATATATAATTGGGTCCACTTTTTTTTTTAATAGTGCTGATAATACTTGGGAACCTGAAGAAAATTTAGATTGTCCAGAATTAATTGAAGCATTTCTCAACTCTCAAAAAGCTGGTAAAGAAAAAGATGGTACGAAAAGAAAGTCTTTATCTGACAGTGAATCTGACGACAGCAAGTCAAAGAAGAAAAGAGATGCTGTAAGTATAAAATATTTTGACCAAGATGACTTTGTAAACGGTTGCTGACATGGTACCATGTATTACTGAGTTGCTTTTGAAATTGCGCTAAAAGGGTAGGCGTGGTTTACCTACACTGTATAAATGTGCACCTGTTGTGGAGTAGAACCCAACGTAGCCACTCATGGATGCAGCATAAACGTCATGGGGCCTCGAGTCTGTGATGGGTCTTTCAGAAGCAGATCATCTGGACTGTGTTGTGAGTTGCCTCTTGGTCCAGGGTTTTAACCTCCAAACCTTTCAACTAATTGAGCACACTCCATCCCTTTGTGCCAAAAGTGTGTATACCAATTAAAGTGATGTGCTAGTGCTCATTTGGTAGTCTCCCTAATCAGACCAGCAGTCCTAAGTATAAACAATGGCAACACTAGAACACTGACTTCCTTACACTACAGAGAAAACCATCCCCATGGCACATCTTGACTGCAGACTGTTAGTGGCATTGAAAACCAGAATGTGCTTGGGTGTAATCTTCATTGCCAAGCAATGAAGTTTTGGAAGTTTGTATTGGCATGGATTGAAATACTTGGTTCATTCACTACATGTGTACAGTTGGTCTATTCTTTGTCTCACTAATGTCTCTGTGGTGTTGACAAGTTGGGTAATTATTTTCTTCTGTCCTCAACTCTAAATGAGAGATTATATTTGTTCTGCATACTGACCAAGAGTGGCAGTTCAGGGGAAAGAAAGGCCTTGGTTCAGAATCTGTCTCTGGGCTTCATATTACATATACCATACCCAAGCTAAATCAAACCCACTGCCATCAAGTTGATTCTGATGCATAGTAATCATATAGAGAGTTTCCAAGGCTGTAAATGTTTGTGGGACTAGACAGCGTCATCTGCTTCCCTAAGAGGGATTGGTGGGTTTGAATCACTAACCTTGTGGTTCATAGACCAACCACTAGCAACACTATAGATAATTGTATTGTTGATAGAAGGGCTTTGAAATGGATATTTGGTTACTTTTATTAGATGCCAAGTTCTTATAAAGTCTATTAAATCTTCATGGAAGTACAATTAGGGCTTTAAGTATACTGATTTTATAGATAAAAAAATTAGAGGCTACCACAAATAAACTAAATGATGTTGCAGCTACAACAGAAAGATAGTGTGGAGAATCACTGTCCAAAATGTGAACATAAATTACATCTTCAATAGAAACTATTACTAACAATAGTTCACATATATTGAGCCCTTTGGGAATACCCATATTTTCAATAACTTGTATTTCATAAACCTAACAAGAAAACCTATATGTTGAAAATCATTTTTTTTTTAATTAATGAATAGTGGCTGTTGTACATTTTACAAATGCAGTGTCTGGCTTATTGGAAAGACACCTACTTGTGGTTGAAATCGGGGAGAGAGTCCATAGTCACAGAACAGAGGGGACTTGGCAAGCTTCCTGAACAGGCCTTGGGTCATACCTTTGAGACCATTGGTTTGTTTGTTTAATATATAAAGCCATGTAAGATTGGTTATTGTACTGTTTTTAAAGCTCTGACTTGTATGCTATTTGTTGTGTGTGCTTTAATGATACGTGGGTGATTCTTAGAAGTGATTTGAAATAACTAAGAATTTCTTTCAGTGGCGTTAGAATGAGTGTATTCGTTTTCTCTGTCCTGAGAAAAAACATGTATATCACGAAAATGAACCAAAAGTTAATATTCTTAGTTTGCATTATGAGCAAATGTGTGGAATCATTAATGTAAATAATTATTTAATGTCTTGCAAACAGGCTGACAAACCAAGGGGCTTTGCCAGAGGTCTTGATCCTGAACGAATAATTGGTGCTACAGACAGCAGTGGGGAATTGATGTTTCTCATGAAATGGTACGTAGTGGTTATATTTTAAAGTCAGGGTAGATAGTTTATTAAATATGTTCTCAGGCATTTCTTATATACCTATCTCTACAGACAAATGTCAAAAAGTTATTGTACGCTATTAACTGTAAGTGAAACTGATACATTGATATAAAATTTATGCTCACCACATTTGAGATAGTGGGTCGATGAATCGTAAGGGTCACTTGAGTCGGTGACTATGACAATCGGCTGTTTGTCATTACGTTTGACGCTTACTTTCTAAGAGCTTTTTTTAATGATCATTTTATCGGGGGTCATAGCAATCTATACATCAATTGTATCAAGCATATTTGTACAAATGTTGCCATCATTATGTTCTAAACATCAGCTCTTCTTTTTACCCTCCCTTCCCCCCTCGTAACCCCTTGGTAAATTATAAGTTAGTATTTTCATATCTTGCACCAACTGCTGTCTCCCTTCCCCCCACGGTTTCTCCCCCACTCCTTTCTCCACCTTCCCCCTTACTCTGTATCTAGGAACTTTTTTACTAGGTTTATATTTGTTGTGGAATTTATTTCTTGAATGAAACCAATTTACTCAATTTACATTTGAGTCAAATTGACCCATATCTGTAGAGATAGGTATACCACACAGAACTTTGAGATTAGAAGGCTTAGGCGGAAATGAATTTGGGTGTATTAAATGGATAAAAAATCAGCATGAATAGTAGGAAGTGTAAATGGCTTCGGTATTTTTCATTGAAGAAATTGAAATGCATCAAAATGACACCTTTCATAAACCTATGAAATATGCATAGTAGTATTTAGGGAAAGTTGCCTAATTCTCTCACTGTGAAGTGATATGCTGAAAGAATGATTCTAGTTCTTGTTACTAAGGGCCAGCAAACGATGTATGCCCTGTCTTTAAAACTCAACTTTTATTGGAGTATTGCCATAATAGCTATATAACCTTCCTTAAGTACTTAAACGGTTTTGGTTTGGTTTTTTTAATCCCCTTTAATCATTGAATGGTTCTGAATTGATATAAACAATTTAGTCTTAAAACTTACTGTTTTATTCCTCCCAACAGGAAAGATTCAGATGAGGCAGACTTGGTGCTGGCAAAAGAGGCAAACATGAAATGCCCTCAGATTGTCATTGCGCTTTATGAAGAGAGACTCACTTGGCATTCTTGTCCAGAAGACGAAGCTCAATAATTGTTTGCATTGCTTTTTATATATATTTATATATATATAAAATTTGGGTCTTGGGTTTTTTTGTTTCTGTTTTGAATTATTAGTGAGAAGAATAACTACATTCTAATGGAAATCAAGTTTGATATGTTTTTTTTGGAGTAGTACTGGGGGAGTTGGGGTTATTTTGTTGTTGTATAAACAGCACTGGTTACTTTGAACAAATAAAGCTTTCGGTAGTTGCTTCATTTATCAGAAAAGAACATTTGATACCATGGTATATTATTTCCTCTGCATTACAAAATAGCTTTTCTAAATATTGGAAGTTCTAGTTATTACTGAGTCAGAACTTGTTTAAACCATAATGTATGCCTAAGGACCATTCTGGATGTTTGGGTCTTTGTTTTTCTGTGTGTATGCATAAATACGTATGTATATTTTATTTTGTTTTTACCTTCACCAAAAACTGTTCTAAACAAAAATGGCATTTAACAACCATGGTTATCTCCCTGTTGTTACAGGGACGGATGCTATCCTTCTGAGCAACTCAAGATCACTTGTCAAGTAAAATGGTGGGGGGGAAGGGGGGACTTGTGAGCCATAAGCTTTTAAATCAAATAAATGATCCAGTAATTAATTAAACAACTCTCAAATCCACACTTATAGAATCATATAAATGAAACTATTTGCAAAGTCCCCTGTGTGCACAAAAAAATCTTAACTACTACTCAAAACCTCCCAACCCAAATAAAACTGGACTGATGTTGGTATGTCTTCACGGTGGGTATTGGTTCCTTTTAGATAACCTTTTCTTTTTTACAGAAAGTTAAGATCTGTGCTATGTAAAAGGTGATTCATGGAATGTTTTAAGACCTCGCTGGTGAAAAACCTAATGAGCTGGTTAGCGGTGCTGCCGCTGAGGACCTGCTTCACAAATGGTGAACAAGCGTGTCATCCCGACTCCTGACCTGCTGGTTTCTGTCCCAACCCATTCTTCACATGGAGATTCAACCTTCTCAGTATCGGGGTTTGTTTCTATCCCAACCCACTCTTCACAGGGACGTCCTGCCTTCTCAGTATCGGGGAGACTCTAGATCAGCTAAAGCCAGGAAAAACAACTTTGTCGTAATCAGAATGTTAACCCGATTGTATATTGTTTACTTTATTGTAAATACTGGTGAACCGTGGTCAATAAATAGTTTTATATTCCTTTATGTATTTAGACTGTTTTTCCCACGCCCATAGCTGATTGCCTTTTCATTGGAATTACAAACATCGAACATGCATGTAGACACATTGAATTCTCTTCATTATTTATGTCATGGCATACCACTAACACATTAGAAAACATCCTAGTGCCTTCAAGCTAGTCTATGAGCTTCCAACTTTACTAGAATAGAACATTCCACATATAGGGCCTCCCCCCAAGCCCCCCTGTGAGGTAGTTAGGGGAATATAAATGCCTTTATGTGATTCCTAAAGAGATTTGCCTTGTGAAATTCAAAGTTTAGTATTTTTTAGCTTGCTAGCCATCCTCTGAAATAATGTAGTAGTAGCATGTGTTCTGCAAGTACTGGTTTTACTATGGTGATAGATTTCTGATTTCCAAAACCCACTTTTGTTGCAGAAAAGAGATAGTTTTAGAGAAAACATTAATACCCATGCCATTTTACTCAGATCCAACACTGCTCTCAACAGTAGGTTCACAGATGATACACAATCTGCAGAGTTAATAACTACATTAAATTTTAGTCTGAGTTTCAAACTACCAGAATGTAACTTCACAGATAGGGCCGGCCTGAGCGTCATTTCTGGGACCAATGTATTTATTGTGCCTTAAAGTGCAGGAGCTCAGAAGTACAACATCACTCCTGGGGCTGAAGTCGAAGGTGTTTGCAGGGATGGTTCCCTGTAGATGTTCTGGCAGCAAGTTTCCTTGCATTTTTTTAGCTTCTCCAGAGACTGAAAGTTGGTGGCCTAATTGGGTACAGGTTGTGCTACCATCTTGCAAGTTCAGCAGTTCAGAAACACCAGCCATTCAAAGACAGGGCTTTCTACTATAAATAGTTAACCTATAAATATAGTTTATAGTATACTATAAATAGTTATACTCAAACCTATAGGATTGCTATGATTTCAGTATTCAGGAGGTAGCACTTGAGCCAATGGTGCTAAAGGAAGAATTTCAAACTGCACTAAATGCATTAGCCAAAAACAGCTTCAGGAATAATTGAATATCCACTGAAATGTTTCAGCAAGCCAAAGAAACACTGGAAGCACTCCACGCCAGAAAATGTGGAAGATGGCTACTAGGCCAAACGAAGAGATCCATAAATGTGCCCATTCCAAAGGTGACCCAATGACCCATCAGAATACTCAAAACTATGGGATGGTGTCATTGATAATGCACACAAGTAAACTTTTGCTTCAGATCATCCAAGAATGGTTGCAGCAGTACATTGACACAACTGCCAGAATTTCAGGTTGGATTCAGGAGAGGTGGAACAAGTGATAATGCTCATGTTGGATCTCGGCTCAAAGCAGAGACTACCAGAAATGTTTGTGTTACATTGACCACAAAGGCATTCAGCCGTGGACAATAAACTGGATAGCCTTGAGAACTCAGGAACCCTTCATGTATTCACTCAGAACGTGTGCATGGGTCAAGAAGGAGTTGGCAAACAGAACAAGGGAACACTGCATGGTTTTGAGTCAGCTTGTATTCTCTCACCATGCTTGGTTCATAATGTTCAGCAAATCAGCAGAGAAACTGGGTTATATGAAGAACGTGGCATCAGGATTGGAGGAACACATTAGCCACAACAACATGAATCAGTATTGACTCAATAGAGGTGAGTTTGGAATATTTGAGAAGCTAAATACCTTGGCACCTGCCTCCTTAATCTAGAAAGCCAACAACATAGCATCTTCTAGTCTCATCACCCTCTCACCCAACCGCTGCTTCCAGCATCATACCTTCCCTCCTGTATGCATGTTTGCAATTCAATTGTGTGCAGCCTGGTAGAATAGAGTTATCAGTTTCTTAAGAGTTGAGTTTACAAAATAGCATAGTCTGTGGCTATAAAAAACCACTTCCTCAGTTCTGGAGGATAAAGACCCATTTGGTCTCAGCTTTACCTATTCAGTGGGTCTTCCAGTTTCTGCTGGAAATCCTGTCCTTTGGTGGTCCTCACGCGTCTGCTTTTATAAACAACCATTCAGATGGGGTTAGGTTTAGAACTACTGTACTTTGAAATAGAGGAGCTCATAGTAGGTTAAGCTTTGGGCTACTAATCACAAGGTCAGCAGGGAAAAGATGAGGCTGTCAGCTCCCATAAAGATTTTGTCGGGGAGCTCTCGTTAGACAGCTGTCTTGTTAGAGACTTCCAAACCATGAGGACCAAGTGGAGGTAGAAGAGAATGTGCAGACTGAAACCGAAGAGAAAGATGAGGCAGCCATCCACATAAATTAGCATGTGCACCCTCAGAAGCCACAGCGTCAGGAATATGGAGTGTCAGGCTGGGACACTGGGAAGTTGTCTTATGGCATATTACTGTGTAGAACAGTGGTTATCCTGTGGGTCACGACCCCTTTGGGGGTTGAGTTAGTTAATTGTGCCAGCCTGGCCGATAATCACATGTGGGGCTAATTGAAAGGCGGAGGGATAAATGGGTGGTGAGCCTCACCTTTCTAACT